CCACCGTTCCTCAATAGAAATCCCGTTTGTGAAAAGTAGATAATAATGCCCTTTCCCGCGATAAGTAGCTTAGCTATCACCACCTGCCGACAATGTCCTTACCCTAGCCCTCGCACACGTTCCAACAATTAGTGCTGCTCTAAATAGTAAATTCGTGCGTTCGAAACCCGGTAGTAATGCTATATATCCGCTAACCGAAGCAGTGCCCTGTCCCGAATGTAGGAACCATGCTGGCAAAAACTTAGCAGTCCCAAAAGTATCGGTCAGGATGCCCACGTTGCTTCGTCGCTGAAGCTCCGAGAGCTGCGGCATAACGACTCATTCAAGAAGGCCTTGAAGGCAGGGATCAGCCGGCCAGAGGGTGTTACGATTCCGATGACATTGTTCAACCTCAATGGTGGAAGGGATCAAAAGGAACTTCACGCGCCTGCGCTGAGGAGTCCACCAATGGCATCCAACTGCTTCATCAAAACCGCACCACCCACTCCCACAAAATGGGCCTCCTGACAGATACCAAGGCAAAAAATAACAGAAAAGTGAATAACATCAACACCGCTACTTATTAGAAAACTAAAATCAAAACACTAAGCTTCTCGCAGAATGTACACCCTAAACAGCTTCCTTAATGAATTGAGACACATCAAATTGCTGTTCATATTGACTCTCGTCCCATAACTCAGCCAAATTCCACCGCTCTTCTCCGTTCACACTTGAGGTGTCTGATGCAGCTGCAGTTTTACGCCTTCTTTTCGCTTCGGGACCACCGTTCTCCTTTGATGGTTGATCTCCGTCGAGAACGAACATGTTCATCAGTTCGTCTGTGGCCATCGTTTGGAGTGAACGATTATCCGCCCCGATCAGCGCCTAAAGTGCGTGATTATTATCACCTACTCTGTGAGGCCTCACGTACGCAACAAATAAACCTACATCTGCCGTGTCCTGCTTGAACTTATGCAAGCTCATGACTTTAGCCTTCTATTGTTCCCTGCGTAATCAGACGGTACACGTTGACTTTAAGTCAGACGGTACACGTTGACTTTGCGTGTTTGACCAATTCTGTGCGCCCTGGAGAAGGAAAAAAATTAGTTTGACATAAAATTAATTGATATCGGCAATCCTAGAATAAAATAACCTATCGATAGCCTGCAGATCCTTCATTGGATTCCAGTCATGATCCTAGGAAGATTACCACATCGGCTCCCGTGAGATTCAATCCAACGCCACCAATCTACAAAAAGAACATAGTGGAGGACCTTCTTTCAGACCCCTCTCTATCAAATGCTTCAGTAGCGAGGAACATGTTTCGTGGCCGTTGCAGAATAAAGCACATTCGACTTTGGGCCTCGCAACAAGAGAGGTATTATTTGCCAACATGTGCGCCGAAAATACGCAATTGCGTACCACTTAACTCCAGACAATATAATATGGCAGCGACAGAAGCATCCATGAACGCTCTTTCAAGGGCATAAAACGATCAACAGCGTAAAACTTACATGAGTAGTCAAACAAGGACGTCAATGAGGTGATCCGTGTTGAATCGATCGACAACTGATTGGCGATCTGATGGAGGGAACCGATCCATCGAGAACAAGATGTGATATAGGAGCGCCAAAGTCGCCTCTGAAACGAGGAGAGAGAAATGTGCAAATTCTCTTGCATAAAAAAATTTGACCCTTTTTCTGTCTTGACTCCTCTCAAAGCGGTTTACTCCATCCAGCATCATTACGAAGCAGGAATGAGAATTCTGCTGAATGGGAATGTTAATCACCGAGTTTTCACGCTTCCTTCCGAGGCTCTTTATTGCGAACTGGGGGCGCCACAATCCTTCCAAATAAGCGTACACTCAGCCTACATTCTGTTAGCGTTTCCATTGGTAAATTGTGAGCAACTTATAAAAGGTATATGTACTTGCCTCGACAAAGCATTTGATACCAGCTGTACAGACGACTTCCATTGACAGAATATTAGAGCTCGGTGTGGTAACTCCACGGGAATCGACGAAAGTGGATCTGAAAAAAAAGCTCTTCAAAATATGAAGATCGGGCCACACAAAAACCACTACACCAACTTTCGTCTTCAGGGTCCTCTTCTTCGAAACTGACACCGATACCACATTCACTCAACAGTTGTCCTAAAGCCGCGATTTTGCCCGAAGACGCCGTCGGGACCTGAAAACAAGTTTGGTGTAAGTCAGCTACCCTTCGAAATCATTAAAAAAAAATCTAACGATCAATCACAAATAAAAAATGAAAATTACATTTAACAAGTCTACCAAATACGAGGATACAACGGCGACGACTGACGTCGCCACCACATCAGAAAGTTCGTCCGGGAGGGATAAAAACTGGTTACAAAAGACATACCAGCTTCATTATCTCTTCCGGAGCACCCAATTTCGTAAGAACATCTTGTATGAGCAAAGGATGATCGACAAGTTGTCGAAGTGCCATGAGGGCATGGAGTGGAGAAATTCCTCGTCGAGCAGCCAACTGGGCACGATTGGCGGTACACCTGAAGATGACAGGATTACAGGAGGCGATCTGATTTTTCTTCTGACTATTCGTGTAAAAGTTGAAAAACTATAGGAATCATAAAACACCTGAGTATTCTACAAGTACTAATATCAGTACGATAATCATGTATATAATGGTGTAGAAATACACAGAACTGGAGCCAAGAAAGTGCCTATAATTCAAAAGAAGTACCTGTCAACAATAAATTTGTAGATTGTTCGCTGTTCCTCGCTGAGCTGACACTCATAATCTTGCACATTTTTATCAGGCAACTCTCGAAGAACCTGTTGGAATGATAAGGTTATCATGCGTTCATGAACAGCTACAGAGAAATTTCAAAAAATATACCCACTTCAGATTTGAGACGTCGCATGATAAACGGTAAAATCAGCCGGTGGAAGTTGTGAAATCGCTTCAGATCCGTCCTAAAAGCAAACTTACAAACGATATCCCTCATAAAAACAGAGCCGACAAGTCTTAAACAAAATTATTAGGGGAAAGCTACCTGTATATCCTTTTCATTAGCCTTGTGACTACGACATTTGAGGATTTTCCGGAGGAATCGGGCACGGAAATGTCGCTCATCACCCAGATATCCAGGCATCAACCACGTAAAGAGCGCCCACAGATCGGCAGGACTAAAAATTCAAGTGAATGCAGTAGCGGCAGGACTAAAAATTCAAGTGAATGCAGTAGTGATGAATGAATTTGAAAAAAGGTTTAAAAATGCAAACTAAAAATAAACAGAAGCTTCGAGGAAAGTAACCTGTTCTGCACTGGAGTTCCAGAAAGAATGAGCCGGCTGGTAGAATTCAACTCATTCGCAGCACGCCAAATTGCCGTCTTAGGATTCCTCAAGACATGCCCTTCATCCAGTACCACATAATTCCATGCAACACGCCTTCAAAAAAGTACAGCGATGAATGGCCCAAAGAAAGCGCTACTAGTTCTCCGGGAAATATTGAAACAAATACCCTAGAGAAGAGTTTCCTTTAAGATCTTCATACGCTGCGACAACAATCTCAGCAGCTTTCCATTTTGCTGGTGCGCCTTCGACATGGCGTGCTGGCGTTCTACCAGGGAAGAAACGACGCCATTCATTGCACCAATGGTCCACGAGTGTTCGTGGACAGATAATTAACGAACAGCGACTTATCAAGATTGGCATCTGTAAATGAAAGGCTTGTTCAAAAACTCGCCGTGTTGAGTTGTTCACATATTATCTTATCAGAACCCATAGAACCCAAGGCAGCGACTCTAAGCAAACCAGAAACCGCCCATACATTCCATTTTCACCCAAATCATTTCTCTGCCGTTTGAAGCTCATACTCCACCCCATTCATCAGTGAGAAATCCAAGAGCGCCATAATCCGTTTGAAGCAGTTTTCTTCTCCAGACCCATATACGCTGCCAAAATGCCATGTAATCCAAACTTTCGCAGAAACCGTATCCATGTGATTCCTTCCTTGAATAATAGATTTGACTTGAACAAAAACGCATGGGTGCTGTGTTTAATTGTTGCTGAAGGAAGCACAAAGGTACTGTATGTGGTGGCAAGAGCCAAGTTCATAACATCCAGGATAGTTAATACGGCATCACAGATGGCATAGTATAGCGTAGATGGATGGATGTGGGAGGAAAGAGGGATAAGTGGAAGAAGCCCGTGAGAGGAAAATGACTCCTGACATTCCCATGAATTTCATTCAAACCTCCCACTATGATCTCAACATTAACTGATTCAAGTAAGAAAGCTGAAACTAATAAAGCATATAGCGCAAGCTTACCGCTTGATAATGCCGCAGCTGAATTGTTTTGCATAAACCTCGTATTGTCTTTGTTTCTACCAAAGCCAAACGTCCAGGTGCTGACAAAACATTAACAAAATCAGCACTTTCTGCACGTTTTGCAGAAAGCTCTTCGCTCAGGTCTGGTACCGCTGCACTGACGTCCTGAATTTAAAAATCGATGATAAAGAATGAAAGTCCCAGAAGAACTAGATTATCACGATGAACTAGATTATCACTTAATGGGCAAATAGCACATAGAGGCACATTACACGACCGAATGGAAAAATTGCGGCGTTAGTCCACCAGCAATGAAGAAGCAAAAAAAACTGGGGAGAACCCTTGAAATCACAGTGAAAGCTGATGAAGGATTGGGACTTGCGGCCCGCCCAGCGATAGTCCATCTGGTCGGTCCGACTTGTTTACCGTGTTCTACCGTATATAACCATATTAAAGAGAAGAGGTGACCAGTGGAAGTTGCGTAGGGACGGAGCCCATACCGCGCCCATCCAAATTTCTTACCATGTCAGCCATAAATGGGCCAAATTATACGAAATGCTACTACGATTCTGATTTGGAGTACAATGCGTGGCGCACCCTTGAAAAAGACCAATCAACGCCAAATGTTTCTCCTTTTTTCTTACATTACTGAGCCCAGCAACAACCAAAAACGACTATATTTCCGAACGTAAAAACCCAGTCCTATTTGTTCACGGAATTTACACACTTTGAAACGCAAAAGCGAAAATCTAATCTAGTCAGCGATAAGTAAGAATATTCACCAATATAAGAGAAGTAATATTAGCGAAGAATAACCTCTAAGGCTAATAGAGGCACCATATTCCGGAACGCCTCGCCAGCTGCTTCTCGAACCTCTTCCAATTTGTCAGTCATTCGCACAAATGCCAATGGTGCTAGCAATGAGACGACACCAGTCAAAGCCGTATGCATTAGCGACAACCTTTATCAAAAGATTAGATCAATCCAAGTTTCTTAGTGACTGAAAAGCTGAACACCGTACCTCAACAGAGCCTCGATAGCTCCACGTCTCTCACTTTCTACGGAGACGTTATTAAGCATTCCAGATAGAGGTGCCAGTAGGCGAGAGATCGTATCGCCAAGGCGGGATCGTGCGAAAGTTTCCACTGCCTTTGCACCAGCAAACCTGAAGAGAGCATCTTATATATAAGTTCTGACCAAAAAACACATCTGAAGGCTTTCTCAGGCCTGCATTGAAATGGCGTGCCTCACCTGAATGCCTCTCATAACCTATTTTACACTCTTTAGTAGTTTTTCTTTGGACCTAATTCAGCCAGTCATTCCAAATTACGTGGTAAAGTAAGAGCTTAAATGTACCTACGCCCACAGAAAAACTCAAAATGCATTTGGAAAATACTCTGAAAACTTGAGAAAGGCAATCCTTAGCAAGCTGCCTCTATGCCCTGTGATTGTAGCCGTCTATTCACGTTCAATGGGAGCTGGCTGGATGTGGCCAAGCATAGAGGGCAAAGATATTGGATAGTCCAAAAGTTCGTTCTTCAGAGATCATCCCACCTATGAATCATTCACAATACACAAGTCTACTATTACATATTATAGCTGTCAGAAAGTACCCAAATGTCAAACAATTATCATAAATTCACCTGAATGCTGGGTTGGAGCTTTTCAGCAGTTCTATTATCCGAGGTGTGGATACGTCCGATAACGATGACCCCACTCTTGACCACATGCAATCATGCAATGCCAGGCGCGACAATAATTCCTGTAAGTCTTAAAAATAGCCAGCAGCTAACTCCAATTTTGATTAAAACATTTCCTGACTGCTAACAATGAAAACGTCACCGCCACATCGCCTCCCTATTGAATCAAAAAGTCATGATTTCAATTCAAATCTAAGGACCTCTTGCGTTTCACAACTGTCCAATGCGAACTGATCATAGAACTCTGGAAGCTGATCCACCGAAAAAGTAGTGCAGACCTGAAAAATTGCAAAACTAGACGTTTCTCACATTGAGGTGCCTTAGGGAGCAATTGAGAAAGAATCTTACCAAAAACATCAGTTCCGCGTTGGTGCTCTGCGGGGAAGGCGAAGCTTTTTCGGAATCCGGCCGCTGTATGCTGAGGATTACATGCTGCACCTCCTTCGAAGACCATTCTTGCGGTTTAGGTATACGAGACGAACAGCTGGAGAACATATCCATTGCACGCCCCAACACCTAAATTCATTAGAGCACCAAATTAACTCGATTCTGCACTGCGTTTCAAAACGATAGAAATTTTTCTCAGTTATTAAGCAATCTCTACTTTTTGAAAAGAAAACCGTTTCCCGAGTGAATTACTGTGATGGTTACTGTAGCACAGGGTGATGAAAATAAGGAACTATGGCTTCGGCGCTGATCAGTTTCGTCTCGGGATACGCTACGCAGTGGATTTCCATTAAGGTAGAATACGGCACTTGAGTCTGTACACAGTACAGATAAGGGCCTGTACCAGATGTAGAGCCTCAAACAATAGAGATACCAACCAGCCGAAAAGCAAGAACGTAAGTTTCGGTAAGCCTACATATGCAAGATTCATTCCCTAGACCACGTGTTTGTGTACAGCGACACATTTGTTGCTACCCGTCTATAACAACTGGTGGACCATGCTAAAATGCAATTTTTGCGCCAATTCGGTTGCCCGTTGAAAATTTATGTAAGGGAGCTAAATGGTGCAAATGGGGGAAACCGAGGGATAGAGCCTAACGCCTGCTTAATGAGTTTTAACATTGTTTTTATCAATGGAGTGAAACTTTAGACGGGCAACGACCATTCATCAAATGTGGAATGACCGGCGACTACTATCTGCAGAAGAAAACTACCGACGGCAGCCACAGCGCGCTATAGCAACCAAATCTTGAGGTACGCAAACTCAAAAGAATGCAAAGAAATTAACCTTCACATAAGGTCTCGGCGTCCTTGGCCAACTGTACGCGATCATCAATGTGACCGCCCCTCGGAAAATCTGTAAAAAAAAGCTTGCATGATAACTTAACAGTGCAGTCCTGATTATTTCATTCTGATGTATCAAGACTAACCTCCGCAGATACAGTGGAATTTTGTTCATTCTGCATACATTCTACAAGTGGTCGTACCATAGGGGTCAGCCTTTCGGGTGCAAAACCAAAATAAAAGAGAGCTGAAGCCAAAAATGCTGCCACTCTGCTGGAAATGGAACGCATTGAAATTTTTTATAGATGGATTCAAAAATAAAAATATAACTGTTAACAAAAGAATTTCTAGACTCACGCAGTGTTTGTCTTGACCGCTAACTTGGTAAAATCTATCAAATCTACCAGAGTGTTGTAACGCGTGGTGAGTGATTCAATATGATTGGGAGCGGTGAGAATTTGAAGACACCGCTCGAAAGCCACCCTAATAAATATTTATCTTGAAAATAAATGGTTGCAAAAGAACAGATAAACACCAACTTGCTGATTTCTTCTGCTGAAACCGAGTCTCCCATGCACAACTGATTTCTATCCACACCTCGATTGACGCAGTAGTCTACGAACTCCTTGCAATCCTTGAAAAGGAATTTGTGCTTCAGAGACGTAACACTATGTAGATTGCAAACTTGTAGAGAGAGAGGAACCGAAAATTGCTATACCTAATCGATAGTCTCAGAAAAGCCGAACCACATGGAAGCATTGATGGTTGCTACGAAAGAGGGGAGAATTGAGATTGAAGTGAAGACCATATGAGAGCAAAAAACTGCGGTAGGAATATTCTTCATTGCTCAATTGTTAACCGCTGCTTTTGTCCACAGTTCGTTAGTGAAAGTTTAACAAGAATTGAATTGTGAACAAAACTTTCGCCCTAGGTGGGCTCCAATCTACACCTCTCGCTGACCGGGCGCTGCTAGTTTCGCTACCGGGGCACCGTTTCATATACCGTGAGAAGCTGATGTGACTTGAGCTCAAATGGTGCTCAGTAGCGCAACTTGGAGCGCACTTGCCCGGAAAGCGAGAGGTGCGGGTTCTAGTCCCGCCTGGGGCGAAAGTTTTGTTCACAACCCAGCATTCTTGTGAAACATTCGCAACGCGAACTGCGGCGTTAAAACAGCAGTTAACAAACAAAACAAGTCAAAATTCATTGCTAAAGCTTTCAGCCTCGCGGTCATTGCCGATATCGGCTAACCGGCTCAACACGTTAGACGTGTGAGTGCTGAAAGCTATGAGATGGGAAGCTGTGTTAAAGCCAAGGTCCCACGGTAGCG